TGGTTATTGACAAAAATCAAATCTTTTGCTCTTCTTCACAAAGATATTAACCACGAAAAATCCACCAAAATGTATGTACCAAAACATTCTTGACAATCACACTTGACAATATACAAACCCAAAACAGATTACATTGATAAACAAAAACATAAGTCAGTTAAGTGTATTAGATAAAAAAGAAAACTGAAATTAAAATACACAAACGACAACTTAATATTTTAAAGAAGTAACAAATCATTACTGCTAAATAAAGTCAAATTCTTCCCGCTTCAAATGTTTCCTCACACACCAAAGAGGTTATAATAATAAGTTTGTCATGGTGGATTATCATCACAGATTTTGGCTTAAACAAAATGCAGTCCTTGCAACACAGCTGAAGAGACCGTAGTACCTGACTGTTCAATAATGCTACAATATGTACAACACCGAACAAATTATAGGAATAAACATGATAGAAACTTCAAAGAAATAACGTTGAACAAAAATTTAAGAGACCTTTCTAACATTGCTGTAAACTTCTTGAATCGCGTTCTGGTGGTGTTGCATATATTCTCCCATTTCCCCGTCTTCGGAAAACCTCTGTAATACTAAGGCCTGTAAGGACCTTAATCTGGTCGGTCCAGAGAGTCACCACAAGCTAAAGTCCACAGCTCGGGATCCACTGCTACAACTACCGCTGTAAATACAAAAAGTTAACAGAAATAAGTAGTATTGAATCATACACAATATATTTTATTATGATATTTTGCTCCGACGATAATATAGTAGGAATTAGAGAAAGATAGTATGTTGTAAAATTATAATAAATTTGTTATTACATAATTAATTTCATATACTTCAGAAAGTATTAACAAATAAATGGTTAATGCCTATTTATGTACAAACATATTATGCTTATTGACAGTTTTACTGTGATAAAACTTTTTTTAATAGATACTAATATAAAATTAAACTTTTAAAATCTTTATTTCCAAAACACAAATAACAGTAGATTTAATTTATTCAACCTACATAGTAATAATAATAATTAAAAATTAATAAATAGAAAATAAAACAAATTTAACAAGTTTGATTCCTGTGGCAGTACCTTTAACGCCGGCAGCATTTCTTCACGGTATTGCGATACTTTTTCGTTGAGCGAGGAAAGCACCAGCTCTGGGATTACCGGTACTATCTACCAGGGACCAAGTTAAATCTTTATCTAGCGCCTGTGCACTTGAACCCCACGATCCAATTAACAATAACTTAATTATTATATATAATCTATAAAACAGATAATAATTATATTTTTATGCTAATCTTATTAATTATATGATATTTAAAGATTTATCAAGGTAAATAAATGCTATATTTTTTCATGCATATTTAAACAATACAGATAAACTAATCTCTTTTTAGTATTTTTGACAAAGAATGCTAACAAAAACAGATAAAATATCAATAGTCTAGTGACAAAAAGTAACTTACAGTTTATCGGCTTAACAGTTAACGGCTCGTAGGTTTTACCCATAGTTAATGCGGATTATAACCACTTTTTAACAAGTTCTTACAATATGGTAATCTTTTTAGGAAACGCCTCGTAAAAAACGGTACTTGAAGTTATTTAAAAAATGATTTAATTTTTTCAACAACTCTGTGTTAACTGTTAAAAAATCAAGATCTGTCAGAATACAAATAGTTAATTTAAATTAACTAATAGAGTTCTAATTTTTTTGTTTGTTTGTTTAAAGGAGCTTAGGAGAAACTACTGGTTTAAATTGTAATATTATTTTTGTATTTCACGCGAATATCTAGAAAAATTATATAGGTAAACGTGGCTGAATATTTTAATTGCACACATATAAATAAAAAAGAATTTTACATGTCATGTTTTTTTTTATTTAATAACAAATTAAAACCTCAGTTGATTATTACCTAGTCCTTAAATTAAAAATCTGAAACACAGTTGATATCTGCGGGTTAATTTACTTTACATGTACGAATTTTTCCTTAACTTTGAACAAATTACTAAGTATTGTTGACAAGAGAACGCTGTAATGTTTATCAAGACCCGGATCCTATGTAGATATGATTGTAGGTATAGTTCACCCTTCAGGTTTAAAAATGGCGCATTTTTTAATATGTTTACGATTAAGATTATGATATCTTAAAAATAGTATAGTAAAAAAAGTTATTAGTTATGCAACCTTCTTGTTGTGCTTATGTTGACAGATTTCACAGATTACTAGAAGCATTCGAATACAGAGTTTTTACGAAAAATTTAAATTTAGAATATATACACAAAAACTTGAAAGGTTGAAATCACAGGTCACATTTTAAAGATACGACCGGCGATTTCTGAATGCTCTAATGGTGCGCGACCAATCGGACAGTTTTGAATTTGGAATAAACGATGCGACCTTCATAAATTCAAACAATAAATGTCAGATATTTAAAAATTCAAAAATGGATTTTTTTTCTTTTTGTGTAAGTTGTTGTACACTACCGATCTTTATGAAATAATTCAGTATTTCCATTTGTTTCATAAAAACTTTACTATTTTTCCTCGTTAGTATGCAAATAAATTCTACAAATTCAAATTCCAAAATCATTTCTTCATATTGGTAACAAAATAGACACTTATGAACGTCAAAAAATACATATATATGAAATGCTTCTTATTTTACATTTACCTACTGCCAGTTCTCAAATTAAGGGAGTAGAACGGAAGAGAAGAACTGGCAATAAACAATTGTACAAAACCTTCCAATTGCTTTGTTTTATTATGCTAGTATTACAAAGAAGGACTTGTATATTTTTATGTTGGCAACAAATAAACTCAAAACCGACTGGACCATTTTCTATATTTCATTAGAATGCTATTTTTTATCCTTGCGAGATCTTCAGATAATGCGCAATAGGTACGTTCAGGTATATAATAGTTTCTTATACTATTTGTTTGCATTGCACAGAATATGTAAAATATATACCTAGATTGTATGCTTGTGATGATTGTGCTTTATCGATCGTAAAACCCAATCCTATTACGTTTAGCAATGCACAGCTAACTATTCATGATTGTTATGAAAACTTTAATAACATATTATCGCATTTATAACATAAATACCGGATTGATTCGAGGTAATTTTTTTAAAAAGCAATTTAGTCTTTATTTTAAACATTTTATTTTATTTATTTATTTTACAATTTTAGGGAAACTTACAGCTAAAAAAGGTTCTATAATATACAATTAATATGATGAAGGCCAATTATCAGTTTCCACACTTAGGCATTATCACATCCTTAGACACCAATGCTCAAAAAACTCTCAAGGCATATTAAAATCTAAATATATAACTCAAAGTATCGATCACAAAAGGCTTTCTTCGTTCTAGTAACATTGCGTAAAAGATAGTTTTAAATTAAAATATGTCTAAGAACATATAAATGAGTCAAGTGAGAAAATAGAAATACAATATTGAATTAAAAACTAACAAAACGGAAAAACCAAAATCTTGAAAAGAAAACAAAAAGTCCATAAACCAATTAAGCTTTGAATTATATAAAAAAACAAATGCTTATGACTACGTCTTATATTATTTGCAAACCTGTATAGATTATCTAAAGCCCTCTACTCTCTATTATACATAAATTATTCTATTGGGTATCTTGTCTATACCCCGAAAAAGTTGAATACGTTATAGTAAAAAAAAAGGAAAGCTTGGTTCTTTTATTCCTAGGTGTCTACTTCACTATTTTTGTAATAAGTTTTTTCATAATCATGGATACAAGTCCTTTAGCCGGTTCATTATCTAAAAATCGTCGATACAAACTTTGCTTTTTTATATCGGCTAATAGATTCTTCTAGCGGTTTTGGCAGCGCTCAACAGAATAGCTCGCAGATGGTAGATTTTTTCCTACTTACTTGATATTTGGGACAATTTACACAATATCTTTCTAAATTGTAGCCTATGTGTTATTCTGATGTATTCATTAAAACCCATTCAGTTGTTTTTACGTGATAGAGTAACAAACATCCGTCCATACTCACAAAGTTTCGCGTTTATAATATTAGTAGAGTATTACGTCATTTGACAATTAGATCAAAACCTACGTCACTAACTTTTTAATTATCTCACGGATATTTAAAAACACTTATCGCATCCTTTGTCATTTAATTTTTGTTGATTACATTCGTTTTACGTTTGGGCCTTAAGTGCATATAACTCCGAGTTTCCGAGTTCCGTTTAATGTAAATAACAATAAAATAGGCAATTTTTAATTTAACTAATGGATATTGCCCCGCGTAGAGCAAGCCTGTTTAAAAAGTGCACAGATATCGGGAACGGCTCAAGCTCAACAACTCCCGTACCTATCTCTCTTCGTTAAGGCAGTTCGTAAGAAACGTTTTTTCTCCGACTTGCAAATCCAACTGCCACGACAAATATTTTTAATTTTCTACTACTACTAGTAACTATATAGTGTCACAGACAGATGGTAAGCACAAATGGTGCTACTGGTAAAATAATGTCAAAATCGGTTTAGCAGATCCAGAGATTACCGCTTACAACCTCACAAGCTCCGCTGAAACCGCTGAAAAGTTCGTAGGCTAACATAGAAAATAAACTTTTTTTTTGATAGATGTTTATTTGGTTTTCGAGAGTGATACAACGATTATTGCAGTCATACAATTTTTCGATACCATTTTTATAGTAAGCGCATCCCAAAATATTGATATCATAACCTTGCCAGCCGACTTTTGCGTCTTTCTACGCTTAGAGCCTGTTCATCCCGTTCATCAATATTTCATAAATTCTCTTTACGAAATGTAATTTTAAAAATAGAATTTCCATAAGTTATTTCGCCTTTCTCACTCTCTCTCAATCGGTCTCAATAGCTCTCTCCCTTTCCTTCGACAAAAACGCTGCACATCTTCGTGACGCTAATATTATTAATAATAAACTTTTTGATTTATTACGACGTTAAAGATTCATCCATTAAGAATAAATTTATCTACAAACATGCTTAATGTATGTTATTTGTCTACAGGAAGAGGTGAGGCAGGCGGTGCCATGGCCTGCGCCGGCTGCGAGAAGCCGATTTTGGATAAATTTCTACTTCATGTATTGGAGCGGGCGTGGCACGCGGCGTGCGTAAGATGCGCAGACTGCCGAGCGCCCCTCGCCGACAAATGCTATTCCAGAGATAATAAACTGTTTTGCAGGAATGATTTCTTCAGGTAAGATTAATTACACCAGTATTTTATTTACCTAATAAACTGTAGTAGGTTCATCACTTTCTAGTTTAGGATTTTATTGGATTTTTATCGTAGTTTTTATACATATAACTCTTTTGATAATATTCTATAGTCTGTGTTCATAAGGGATAATGTAGGATTCTATAAGTGAAATAATTTTTCAAGTCAATTCAGTAGTATAGTCTGTACAATCAAATATTCGTCTTTATAATATTTACCAGCCTAGCCGCTTACGGAACGTAGAGATATGGTCGTACTTTCTTAGACCAAATATAAATTGGATACAGAAATTTTGGAGACGATCCAGTTTATTTAGCAATTCCTCTATATATCTCATATATTAACTATTTTTAAGCAGTTCTGGCCTAGTGGCTTCAGCGTGCGACCCTCATTCCTGAGGTCGTAGGCTCGATCCCCGTGCACCAATGGACTTTCTGTAATTAGTAGACGGCGTGTGTCAGGCACAGGAGGCTGATCACCTACTTGCCTATTAGATTGAAAAATGATCATGAAACAGATTCAGAAATCTGAGGCCAGACCTAAAGAGGTTGTAGAGCTACTGATTTAAACTGTATTTTAAGTGTTATATGCCTAAATACGCTTAGGTATATACTAGACTTCTTCCAGTTTACGTTTGTTCCTGAAAAATTCATATTTATTTTTGAATCTAATTTTTGTATCGGTAATTTTTGGTCTAAGACATGCTTTGCTTTACGATAGAAGTGTTAAGTGCATATTAAAATCCACTGCTACAGGGGTTTCAACGCAAATCTCGTACCGTACATAACTAGCTATAAACAGGCTTAGCCTCTATAAAGACTAAGAAAAATAGCTAATTGTTATAATGTTTAGCTTTTTTTTTAAACTGAATACAACCCTCCATACAATATTGCCATTAAATATCTACTCAAATGATATGAACATAATCTGGGTTCCGTATTAGTATGATTAATGATACTTATGTCATTAATGCATCAATGATAAAAACTTCATGACAATATTGCATTCTTTAATATTATAATAATTGTAAAATTGAATATAATGTTAGATATCTTACTACGACATCGGTGACTTGCCGACTCCAGGTATTTCAAAACTTAATAAAATTTGTTTCTGGATTTTTCGTTAAGAAGATTATATTTCAACGAAAAATAGTTATGCTTAAAACTTGGTTTACTAAGTGAGAACTGAATAAACACTTCATAAAAATATTAGTAAGTAGGTAATAGTGATTTTATACGATAAAAATGCGTATAATAACTAAAATATCACTATAATTTGTATAAAAATGCCTATAAACGTAAATTTTGTATAATGTAAAAGTTATCCACAAACTAAAAGTTTAATTTTAGGTTAGATATCGATATAATTATTATTACACTATGGCCCTCTACATTATTGCTTAATCGTAGGCGCCAAATTGTCAAAAAATTGTCTGTGGTTACCGCAGCGCAGCGGAAAACGGTTCACTTACGACTTCCGCCGGCCATTTTGATGTTTTTTAACTTTAGTTTCGAGTAGTCTTAAAGTTTCAAACGAGGGGCCTATGTTTATTTGTTTTGGCAGCTTTTTGTGTTTGTTACTAAAAGTGTTGAAATTATGCATATATTCATAACAATCTTATCATAAGTTTATAATAGTGAGCCTGATTTTTAAATTGTTGTTGAATTTGTGTGTTTATTCGAGCATCTATATCGAGCATAGATGTATATATTTTTTCTTAATTCCAGCCTGTGGAAGATCTAACTCCTAACCTATAGGAATCAAACAGAATTATTGTCTTAGTTATAAATAATTCTTAGTAAAGTAAATAATTATTTTGATGAGTTCATTGTTGACATTTCCTAAACCTAAGTGATGTCATTTCCGTTTCTTGACACGCAGCCATTATCGTGAGCTTTAATTGTTTTTACTGGTTTTGTTATTCAACTTATTAAAAAGTGTTAAAATTACATTGTTTATAAATTCAGTTATGTCTATGTAGCTTGCTCATTTATTTATAGTCTATAAAGAGGAAAATGTTAATACAAAAAGTTCTCCCTACATCCCCAATTTCTGAAATGTCATTAGATTTAGGTGGCAACTTTCAAACATGTACTATATTATCTTATTATTCTTAAAAAATACAATTGCACCGTTTTCTAAAGTAGATATTCTTGACTCTCTACTTAGTATCTGTATTTTTTCATCACAGCGTAAATATACGTGATAGAAGAGACTTAGAGAGAGAGAATAGTTTTGTAAAATACAGGTCGAATTGAAACTCGATTAAAAAGAGTAGGTACAAGGGGATTTCATTTTTCTTAAATGTATGTCAATAAAAGGTTTCTGTTAATTGTTTTGCATACACTGAAAAATATATCGATTTAAGTAAGTCCTTCATTAATCAAAATTTTCAATACGTAATATGCATTTGTCTGCCCCGTACCTCATGTTGGGGTACGGTACTTTTAAGTGAGAACTCCATTTAGTCTAAATAATTCGATAGATCTCATGAAATATGGCCGATTGCCAGCAACTGATGTTTTATTCATGTGACCTCCTCGTTTATGCAAATCACCTGCTAATAACTCAAAGTGATGATAAAATAATAAAAAGCGGAATTTATGCTGTATTCGTTATTGTCATAAATTGAAACAATTATCACATTTCGTAAAAAAATATTTTTATTATACACTAATAGCAAAGTGGATATTAAGATTATGAAAAAAATAGTAAGTTATTGATTACAATTAGCTTAATTCAGTTTAAAGAGCAGTGTTGGATTAGTGGCTCATCCCTGAGGTCGATTCCCGGCTGTGCACCAATGGACTTATGGGTGCACTTAGCATTCGCTCAAACGGTGAAGGAAACCATCGTGAGGAAATCGGCTTGCCTTAGAACCAAAAATTGACTGTGTGTGTCAGGCACGGGATGCTGATCATCTACTTGTCTATTAGATTGACAAATTATGATGAATCAGATTTAGAAATCTGAGACCCAGACCAAAATAGGTTTTAGCGGCATAGCGCAAAGTGGCGGTACGTAAGCACGTCCTTAAGGGAACCAAAATTATTAAAAAGATATATAATATTCAAGCAGACAATCAATAGTCCATATGGTTATTATTGTGTCTTTAAAGTATAATATTCTATCATAAAATTATTAAGGGCACTAGCAGTCCATTGCAATGACCCATGTACCTAAGAGCAATCCTGCCTTCCCGCTATTACCGCGGACTATTCATAGTTTTATTCACTAAAACTAAATCAATCATTATTGTAACTACAGTCCCTTCCTCTAGTTTTGACAGCCGGTGACGTTCTATTTAAAGCTAGGATAATTTGGTTATCCAGGTTTAACACTGTTTTCTCAACTTACAATTTAGTCTGAAACTGTGCATATTCCCACAGACTATCGCATTACAACGTTACAGATTAGGTTTCATATAATAAATGTCATATCTAGTGAATAATTACCTCAAGAAGGAACGGTAGTGTAGGTGCCGCAGGTGTACCCAAAGAGTGCAGTGTGATTGAAAGAGCCTATCTATTTAAATTACTTTGTTTAAAATTAAAAAAGAAATACCTTTCTAGTGTCTTATAACATTCCTAAATAATCGCGTGCAGCCTAAGACTTCTTTCATCAATTAAATATTCAATGCATTGGCGGAATAGTTTCTTTGATATTGACCTAAAAATCAGCCAGTTATTATAATACCATGTTTATTGCTCATATTTCTGATACTGCTTTATTGCTTCCGGTATTAGGTATTCTAATTAAGGTTTAAAATTCATTTATTGTTAATATTATATTGATATTTTGTAAAACTGTCGATATTAATTAAATTAAATGTCAAAGATACAACTCCAGTATAATCACGATAATAAGTTGGTTTACGCTGAATCTATTTTCGTAATGTTTTTTATCTATGTTTATGTCACAATTTATAGATACTCTGTGGCATCTTATATATTCTAACACGGAGTATGGCATAGACAAACACAACGTCCCTGACTTACATGTGCTCAGCGGTCAACCTTACGTTCGAAATTATCAAAATCCGATTTTAAATTATCTTCGGTCATTACGAGCTAACGACCCAACATCGATTTATTGATATTCCGATGTATTTGGGAAGCGATGTCTAAATTATGTTTATGATTCATATTTTATACGAAAGATTCGGCAATTTATGCTATTTTTAATCTAGATATTTTTATGGTTGAATTAATCATCGGTGCAATCTTAAATTGTAATAACGGATAGATATCTTCTACTTTTGTTATATTTTTATATAAAGTACATTTGGTTGTCACTTACTCTTTAATTTATGAAATGTAGTGCAAAATAAAGTCACTTCGCCATCTGTATGCTTAGGTTAGTTCAGAGTCGAGTCAAAGCGGGAACTATGATATCCCATATGTCAAAATCCAATTAGTTTTTGATATATGTTCCTCTTACACTTAAATGTTTTAAAATAGCCAGTTTCCAAGCAAAATTACGAGTGTTGCCCTAGTGTCTACGCGCGCATAAGAGGTCGTTCGGACCACAGCTGTACTATTGATGTGTCTATGTCCGCCAGTTGTCACTGTCATTGTCATTTGTCACCGTACTGGAGAAGTTAATCGTGAAGAATTAGAATTAGAAGCCTTAGAATCAGCGGCGTGAGTCAGATACAAAAAGATGACAGTCGCCGCTGATAAACATAAATCTGAACTGATCGGAAGATCAAGAAGTCGCGTGGTTATAATATACTAGAATATGATAGAATAACATTATTTTTTATGCGTTATGTAATTACTTTCTTTTAGATCATAGTAAGGCCAACATTAGCATAGAAATTAGTTTTAAACAATGAATTTTAATTACTTTTTATTTCCTACGTATGCTTTGTTATTCAAAGTACCAAGGTCGCCTATTTAAGTGTACTGTGGTAAAATTTAGTTACTTATTACGTTTGTGAGCTGTGAGGAGAAATATGTGCGAACACGACGAGAAATTCGATTCATATTTTGTGTAGGTAACATTTTAATATAAAAATAGTTTAAATCTTTTTTTATTGTCTTTAGCATAGTTAGTGTGCCTTCGAAGTTTGTTTACTATTGTATTTTCTTTTGCTATTTTTTTTCTATAGAACGGGCGGAAGGCTCATTTGATCTTAAGTGTAAAGTGTGTAGTGCGGTATCCCGCCGCCCGTGGACACTCAATGCTAAAGGGGCTCGGCGAGTGCGTTGCCGGCCTTTTAAGAATTCGTACGCTCTTTTCCTTATAATAATAATGTAATCCCTAAAAAATCAATCTTTTTATTTTTTACTAAATATATTAATTATCTTCTACAGACGTTACGGTACGAAATGCAGTGGCTGTGGTCACGGTATCTCACCATCAGACCTGGTGAGGAAAGCCCGGGAGAAGGTGTTCCACCTCAACTGCTTCACCTGCTTGGTCTGCCGGAAGCAGTTGTCCACTGGAGAAGAGCTATATGTCCTGGACGACAATAAGTTTATATGCAAGGAGGATTATCTTGCGGGAAAGGCGCCGACGCATTGTAAGTAACATTTTATTTAATTTAGTGAATAATTACTAGCAGACCGACCAAGCGTTGCTGTGGCTAAGGTTTTAGTTATATTACATAGTAGTAACATATTCAAGGTAAACGGTAGGAGAACACCAGTCATAGGGACCACCACTTTTTTGGTGGTAATGCCATTAAGTTGTAGCTTATGTGAAACGTTGGTACTTTCAACACGGCGCCATCTGTTAGAATTGTGACTATCAAATAATAAACAAATATTTTGCAATAAAATAATATTGCGAGTATAAATTGAGATGTAAGCTATCCTATTTTTTAAGTTGGGTCAAACTACACACGGTGTGCAAATTTAATTGGTATCGGTTCGGTAGTTTAGGAGTCCATAGCGGACAAACAACGTGACACGTAATTTATATATATTAAGAAATATAATTACATTTTTAAAACCCGATAAACAATAAATTAAAGCATTTATAGATAGACGCCATTTTTCGAGTTATTGTCAATAATTTCGCTCGTTCATAAACGTTATTTAAACTTCAAATACTATATTTAATAGCCGTTGTGAGTTTTTTCTTTGTCACACAATTTATTCAGGATTTATAGTCATTTTATGAATAAGACCGTTTTAACTAAACTTTTTAGTAAAGGATTCAATTTGTGCTTACTACGTACTACACATTTTCTACGCAAAAACTTTCCGTAAATAATGTCTAAATAATAGTAAAAACCGTATCAAAATCGAGGCAGAGAAGTCAGATAAACAGAAAGGAACTATGTTTTGTTCTGTATTTTGAAAGAAACTAGATATTAAAATCTTTCCTAGAGGCTGTTGTCAATATATTAAAAGATGAAGTTTTTTCCTAGTCTAGAATATAGTAGGTGAATATAAAGATAATTTTGTGATAATATTAAGGTGAGAAAAATCTCCGTTGCCAAATGTTAATTAATTATGAAAAAAATGACAACCTTGGTAACACGGTATCTTTTGTCTAAATATTTAAATAACGGTTTTATTAACTAAAAAAAAATATCTCCATATATAGATACTTTGACACATTCCAACCACGTATTACTATATGTTTGTTGTAGATATTGCATGAATTTAATGTGAATAACACACAGTCCTGATACAAATATAATGCCTAGAAATAATTAGTTTTTCGTTGAATTTCGAACGTGACATGTTATTGCCTTTAAAATCATTTTATTGTTCATGAACGTATCACGACGGCTATAAAAACCGAGAACCCACTTTGAAATCGAATTTTTCGATCAATACAAACCGTAACTGAAACGGTGAAAAAAAGAAAATAAAAAGCGCGGGACAAAAAGCCAACCGCATTACACATTAGCTACGTCTACGTGGTATAGTCTATAGTTCTTTTTGACTTAAAAGCTTTGGGATGTAGACTACAATCGAATAGATAAATTATTATTTTTGCATAGACAAGTAATGTTGAGTGCCAGTTTATATTCTGTAATTTTACATTAGACGATACACAGAATAAAAAATGTTAAGGTTTCATAGCTAATTAAAAACAGAGTTAACTATTAGCTGACAGCTACAAAAAGAACTGTCTTTACTTTTTATTGCCTCGGATTATATTAAAACTCGGGATGTACATTTCTGTCAAAATTATAACGAAACTGGTTTTAGTCGGCATATCAATGTATTCTGTTTGAGCTACCGTAGAAATCATGTCTTCGTGTTTAATTTAATTATTGGAGATTACTCTATGCTATTTAGAATTGACAGTGTGTTTGGATAGTTCCGCCAAACACACTGTCAATATTAAAAATAAGTTAATGACAATTGACCAATTAAGTCAAATTTAAACAGATTATATTCAACAGGGCTGTTGTAGTTCTATTGCCGTAACGTTTTGAATTGTATGTAAAACAAGTTTTTGTCATTAATAGCGATAATGATAACAGCAATAACGACTACATATATAGCCTACAGCCTAAAATCCTATCCAATAGGTTTATGCTATCCGCAACATGTGTTCGCCTGCGGCGTTGCGCGTGTTTGCTCGTTGTAATTGTGTTTAGATATTGTTATCTGGGCGGGTAAACAAAGGGAAATAGGGCGTATAGTTTTTTAAGTTGTCTTTCGATTCTACTCTTGAAGAATCGAAATTCTACTCTCTTGTAGGATGGATCATTATGGTGAAAACAGAATATTTTATGCTTATTTTTAGTTTTAATACAAAAAATATAAAATTAATATGTTTACTTTTTAAGTAGGTACAATGTGAAACTTTCTGAGTAGATTAGGTTAAAAAGTTATTTTTAAATAAATATCCAAAGGTATACCGAGCCATTAGCAATATTAAAGCTCTCGTAAACTGTAACACGAAATTATAAATAAATTAAAAAAATCAATTCTGAGGCAAAGTCCCGTAAAAATAACATTATTTGTAGTTATTATAATTACATCATAATAAATCTTTACTGTTTGCGGCTTCATGAAATGAGTTTTAAAATTTTATTAATATTATTAGATAAATATAAAATTTTGACTCCAAAACAACTAAATTTAACAAATGTAACATAATTAAAAAAACAACTATCTACGATTTTTTATATTAACATTAAAAAATATTTTTTATATATTTTTTATATATTCTATAACAAGCAAACGGGAAGGAGGCTCACCCGATGTTAAGTGATATGGCCCATGGACACACATTGCCAGAAGGCTCGCGATTGCGTTGCCGGCCTTTTAAGAATTGGTACGCTCTTTATATCATGCCCTTGCTGATGTTAATATTGATAACAAATAGGAAATCGTTTCCACTGGTATGGTTATGAGATTAGTCTGCCCCAACGTGAGGGTAAGGGGCTTAGGGATATTATGCGAAGATATCAATTCCAAATAAAGTCCTTTCAGTTTGAGAGGCCTAGATTAAGTCCACGTTCAAATATATATTAAAAACGTGAGAATTACATGAAAGAATGTATCACAATATCTTTTGTATGCCCCAACAATCTAGACTTTTAGGTAAATCTTTGTAAACCTAAGACTAGCAATTACGACCAGTACTTTAGTTAATCCGTACGTTAGTAAAAGTCTCAAGTTTAGTAAGGTTTTATGATTAAAATTACCCTTTGCGAGTAGTGGGCCGTCAAGAAGCGTCAGAGCGTGCCCATTTCAAACAAAAACAACCTCCCTATATCGGTTGCAGTACAAATAGCTTGGAGCTCGAAAATGTTTGTGCAAGGGGTGCAACCCTATTGAGATAAGAATGAAAACGTAAGCAGTAGATTTTTATTGTTAATTTATGTTTTAAATTCCCGCTTTAATTTTGAGTATGTTTTTATTCTGTAAAATTTTAAATTTCGAACATACGTTGTATGAATTATCTGTGGATTTTTTGATACATCACGAAGATGTCGATGACTAGGCCACGATCATTTGAAAATGGAACACCGGTAAAACGTCAACGTTATTTCGACGCAACTGGTTTTAGGATTACAGAAGCTTAATGTCTGATATTCGTTGAGTAAAATAAAACAATTACTCCGTAGACGAGGAACATTACTTATTCTTAGCTGATATACAGGATGACATCCTCCGCAACCTTATAAAAAACGTGCAAAAATGGCGACTCATTTCCCGCGCGTGTGCCTGACGGATAGACTTTATCGCACCGCGACCGGTCGGGCTCCTCTAGGGTTGCCATTGCCATTGCCGTCAATTTTTAATAAAAGTCTAGATTTTTATATCGGTAAAAATTTAAGATTTCGAATGATATATAAAATATATGTTTATTTTGTGCTTAATACAAATAAAACCTATTTTTAATATAATACTAATAATTGACTACGTATAATGACTAGATATTTGATTTTTATTCCAACCAAATGTAAAATTGGATATGTAATAAATACCTAAATAAAGTTGGTAAATACAAAAATTTAGTATTTATTTACCTGCCGTTTTAAAAGTTTATATGGAATGTAAATAGTTCTGTTTTGATTTTAGTCTAAATAAAATTTGACATCTGACAGCCCTAGTTATCGTTGCGGCCAGACTCCCTTAGTCTGGTACAGATTAGCGCAGCTCAGCGTATACCAGAGAATTTAATACGACATCAAGAACACACTTCACGCATATTGGTTATATGATTAACTTGTTTCGTTAAGATGTCATTTTAGAAGAGTTTTTAATCTATTACTCGTGCTCTGTGGTATTATCTGTGCCAATTCGGTCTCTTAATGGACTAAAGTTTCTAATTGTTTGAACTTTAAACCCGTTCCACTACAAGTTATTAGCTTTAAAGTTTTAGTGTAGATAGTAATCAGTGTGTTGCCATTTCCTTAACATCAGGTGAGCTTCCTGCCCGTTTGCCCCTTGTTCTATAAAAAACACATATTATGTTCTTAAGTCATACCATAATTTATTTTGTCACATTAAATCTTATCAACGTCAATATTAAAAAAGAAAATTAAATTTATATTACCAATGCACAAATCAAGCGGGTCGAGTGCGAACAATGTTTTTTTTATAAATTGTCTCTGCCCAAAGACATTTTCTTTACAATCTAACCTAACATAAGACTTATAAGTAATTTTAAAGTATACAAAAAGGATTTTTAACGTAAGTGTCAAATAACACTACTTACAGTTTCTATTAAAGGGAAGACACTGTTCTTGTGTTATATTTTTACACTTACCTACCAATGTTTAGCACTTAAGACTAACGTGCACTAACACTAATTCGGTTAAACTACAAAATTGAAAAGTGATGCCAAATATCAACTTGAATTCATTATGATGATAAAAAAAAAACATTATAAAATGTTAATAAATTCGGTAATTGGCAGCCCTGCGAGAGAGCCTTGTAAGGTATACTATAGCTATATTCACGAACAGCGTGGAATGGAGGAATACGATGAAATCCCATTTGGGATCCCCTTTCGTTGGGGACGCTGTGGAGTTCGTCAATCCCGAATTGTATGTTTTCATTTACATAGGTACTTACGTGAAAACAATATATATTTATTATTATTATATA